CAACTCCTATGGGCAAATCACAACTCCATGTACACGTTCAGGAGAATTCCCATCTTTATCGTTTTTTTCAGATGTTACAGAATTGATCCTGGGAACTGAAAACAGGTTCAGTGGCCCAAATTAAGATCTGAAGCAGAGGTTGCTGTGGTATTTTCCAAGGAGAAAACCACAACTGGTAGCTTGGAAACAGAGAATTGGGCAAAGACAACTAATCTCATAAAAGTTACTGTAAAAAAGAAGAAGTAGTAATATGTGGGTATGAGGAAATTGTGTACTCATTATTGTTTCAGGAGAATATTAGACAAAATATTAGGGTTAACAGAACACATGGAAATACAACCAAAGATTAAAGTGTGTGTTCCTTGATTTAGCAGTTACCATGCATGTAACAATCTCTTCCTTCTGGCCCTTTTCATTTTGCTTTTTCTCCATCTTGCTTTCAATTTTATATTTATTTATATTTATTTTTTAATGCTGCCATGTGAGGTGCTTTGAGATTGGGAACCCACCTACCCAGAAAAGGTGGGATATACCGCTTTAAATAAACAAACAACCTCTCAGCACAGAATATAGACCAGAATTCCAAGGCACACATCTTTGCGGAAGATCTGCCTTAGCAGGTGAGCAGGGGGTTGCTTTGGGATCAATCAAAACAATCAAAGGGTCGTTTAAGGAGCTTTCACCTTGCTATCTTAACCCTACACATTTTCTTTCAGTCCAAATCTTAATTCAAGAATGCTTTCATCAGGTGCCATGTTTTTCAATCAATAGGTGGTGTGGGGAACAAAGACATTCAAACAAGAGCTAATTTCATCAGAACTCTTACTTGAAGCTTTAGCTATAAAGAATTAAGAATATCAAAAGTAGGTAAGTGTGTGATCCTGTAAAGGTCCACTAAAATGTAAATCCCACTGAGCAAATGGGCTTTATACCCAAGAAACTGGATATAGGATTCCAGCCAAAGTAAGAAAGAATGAATTTTTCATTCTATTCCAGACCACCTGTTTAAGCAATCTAGAGGTTCAGCTAATTGTATCAGGTATTCTTTAATGGGGATTGTCTCTGACAAAAAAGCAGGTCAGAATTCTTACTATTTTTCACTGGTATTCCACCACGTGTACTCCATGGAGGATAAAAATTGCATCTACATTGAGCCCTAACTAATTAAATTGAGCTAAACTAAGCTAAATTACTGCTCTACAGGGAGGGAGGGGCAACTCAGTCTATCTACAATCTGCCACTTTTACAACTGTTCACTCATAAATCTATCTCATTTCTCCATTAATCTGAGATTATTATTATTATTATTATTATTATTATTATTTTAAACACATGAAAATTCATACTTAAAACCTATTTTTAAATAATTTATCTCTCAAAATATGCATTTTGAAATAAGCATTTAAAAATGAATTTTGATATATTTTTGAGCCACGAACTGCACTGGAAGATTTGAGAAGCATGAAAGCCGATGGGTAACATTGTGAATTACAGAGCACATAAGTTTGCAACAGAATTTATCAAAATTGAATTCCTCAAACGAATTCCTATCTACAGATTATAATGACTGACAACCTGGCCTCACCTGTTCAAGTGATGCTAGAATGATGAATGAATTTGTTAACTTTTGGTTACTCCAACTTTAGTAGTGGAGAAGAACTGCATTATTTGTTTTCTGGTTTCCACTAGTTCTCTAATGGATATAGATGACAATCCAAAGGTCTCTTCCAGTGAAGGGAGCTCAGGTTTAAATCCACTGTAATTTACAAATCCATATCCATTTGTATTGACCACTTTTCTTGGATGAAAGAAGTGTTCTTCTATTTAGGTATATATTGGAGGGAAGGGAGGGTAGTTGACAGGCTCACAGATAAAATAGACCACTTACTGATATCAAACACCAGAGTCAACAGTAATGACAATCATTTTGGAGTACAACCCTATCCTTGACTTATGGCCAAAGCAGGGGTAGCCAATGTGGCAGCTTCTGGATGTTGTGGTTTAGAACTCCTGCCATCCCTAAGCATTAATCATGCTAGGGTGGGGCTGATGGCATCAGGAGTCCCAAAAAATCCAGAGGGCACAATGCTGGCTCCCCTGCTAAAAAGATGAAGATAGTATTGCTACAAAGTTCACTTGTACTGACAGAGCCCAAAGATATGTCAACATTGTGGATTTACACCACTGTCCCACCACAGTCGTGCTACTGTAACTACAAACTTGGTGTGAAACTGTCAATGTACAGTGGCAAAAATGGACAGATTTGGGGAGCGGTCAAATCTGCAACAACTATAAACTGACTGGGCTAATAACAAAAGAAGAATGACATGCTACTCATCCCCTCGGAACCCTGATGAGCACTCGGATTCAAGTTTCCAGATACAAATACCCAATGGGAACCTCAACTTCCCTGCTAAAACTGGGGGTACAAATACAAGACAAATACAGCATGGAGGAGACCAGGATCAGATGTGGGGTTTATTGTGTTAGTTTTACTGGTGCCGATGCTAGCACTTCTGTCCCGATTTCTCCTGATTTCTAACATTTCTTTTACGCTGCAGTACTTGCTGCATCATGGAACTTTGGCTCTTTGATGGCTATATTGCCATATCACGCTAAATTTCAGACAGCAAGAAAGAACTGTATGCTGGGATACCACCCCAAATTTCGCCACCCCAAATTTTGTCACGTGAAATTACAGGGCAAAACTACTGTGATTGTCTGAGTCAACAGTGTTGCAAATGGATTCTCCCCCCCCCCCCGGGAAATAATTAACCTTGAGATTAGCACTGAACTTTCCCTAGATTCCACCGGACTTCCAGAAGTGGCTTTTCCACCATGAGAAGATCACATAAAATGCAGAAATCAACAGGTAAGGAAACATCAGGAAGGCAGAATAAAGTGTCATCGGAATGAAGTCTATGTCTCAAAGCATAAACCTACCCCCACCAAATTGGCCCAACTTGTCTCCCACACATCCTATATTTGCTAAAGACTTCTCCACCCTTCAATACAGGAAACATTTGTTGTGCAGAAAAGGGATTCTGCTGCCCCTGAACTCCCAAATCTTCCACCATGTACCAAGGGAAGTCAGTGTTGGATTATAAATAAATAGTACAAAGTACTGTGTATAAATTAGGGAGCTGATAGATTCCATGACTAGTTAGCAGTGGGAGAAAATAAAATAGTTACTCTGACAGAGTCTCACCCGCTTACACTAAGAAAGGGAGCCCTTAAATGGTAGATTCATTTTCCTCGCTCTTAAAAAGCAAAACTGTAACATACATCTGTGACCTAGCAACAATATGGTTTAAAACAGTTTCCAGACCAATGGTCTGTGCAATACCTTCAAAAATGGGATGACAAAAGGTCGCAGTGGGAAGTTAGTAGCTTCTTGTAGTTTGGAATGAAATTCTTCAATTGTCAAAGTAGAATTCTGTTGAATGGGGAAAGAAAAGAAAAAAGATCTGACTCAATAAGATGAATAACAGAAATGTTTGGCAACAGAGATTAGGCCTAAAGTACTTTCCACACCGTAACTTTCTTAATTGCTGTATGTTACTGCTGAATAACATTCATATTGTATAAACAACATTCAATTACACAATATAGGAAGCATCAACACTGTATCTGTTACAGTGCACAGCTGCTTTGCCACCGTACCTTTTCCACTGCCATTGTACACTATCTGTCCAAGTTTTAAGATTATACCAGGGTCCGGGATATTTGAGTAGTTTACTCTGAGGACAATGTCTAACTGACAATCAGTTTTGTGCCTCACACATAAGGAACAGAATAGGAAAAAGACATCTGGAAAAAGGAATAAGTGACCAAAGGTTCTGCATGCTCACAAAGGAAGCTGCCTTACACCAAGCCAAACACTGACTGGCAACAGCTGGTGAATCGTACCAAAGATCCATCTAGTCCCATGATAGGAAACCTTCAACTCTCCAGATATTGTTGCTAAGGGGAGAAAACACCAAAAGCAGTCCAAGAAGGACTGAGCACGCTTAGTGGGTACCAGGTGTATGTGTGGGGGAAATGGAAAAAGTGAGAGTAGAGAGGGAGGGAATGGAGTGTGCTGGAAAGGGGCTGAGTGGCTCTCTGAACAGGAGCATTCTGCACTGTAACATTTTTGTTTCACGTTCTGCTTTTGTAATTAATAACCTGTTGATGGTTCTATCCTTTCACAACAATTGCTAATTCTCCTTTAGAGCCATCCAAGCTAGCGATCGTCATCACATTTTGTGGCAGTAAATGCTAAATTGGAACAAACAGCAAGTTCTGGGGGGTTGCCAAGAGCGTTAAAGAGCGGGTTTTCATGGAGAAAGCAATGGAGCCAAAAGAAAAGTGCCCAGACATGGATCAGAGAAGCATAGGCCTATACCTAGAAAGCACTGAGGAAAACTAATGTGGATGAGACCATAGCTGAGACTGTAAACACTTCCCTTGGAAGGTGGCTGGGATGGGAAGTGAAATGAGTAAATGTATCTAGACACGAATCCCTTTTCCGACTATATAGATAAATAGGAGAACTTCCAAGTAAAGGTCTGGAAAGACAAATAAAAATTAAAGCGGCTGTCATTATTTGCTTACCACAAGTCCTAGCACGAGGGTACGCACTCTCTCCCCAATCTCTGGTGAAATGTCATTGCCAAACTGCTGTAAGGTTGTGAGAAATCTCTTCAGTTTGCTAAGCTGTCTAGCTCCGCAAGCTGGTGGCAACTGCTGATTAGCCAAGGATGATGAGGAGGAAGATGATGGGCCGTTACTAAAGCCATTAGGTGGAGAAGGAGCCCCGTTTAGTGCTGTTGGTGAATGGCTTGTGCCATTGGTTACTAAAAAGGGAGGGGAAAGAAAAGAGATGAAATATTTTTATTTACAGAACATATCTGAAGGCAGGCTTCAATGCAAACGTCTGATGATGTGACAGTAGCTTCTTGCCTACTGAACATTTCATAGGTCAACTGCCATAAACATTTTAGGTCCAGAGGAGGTATTAAGTACAGAAGAAGAGCCTGATGCATCAGACCAATGGCTTCTCTAGTCCAGCACCCTGTTCTCAGAGTGGCCAACCAGATGCCTGTGATCCCACCTGAGAGCAGGACCTGAGTGCAATCGCAGTCTCTCCCACTGTGATTCCCAGCAACAGGTGTCCAGAAGCATACTGTGCCTGACCATGGAGGCACAGAGTTCAGAGTATTATCCTCCATATCCTCTTCTAAAGCCATCCAAGTACTGTTTCTTTATTGACCTACAGTCCTTACCTCCCATCTGCCTAACTTGTCCCGCTGCTTTATAAAAAAAACTAAAAAAAAAACTAGCATAAATTTATTTATTAATTAAACTTGTATACTACTTCACCTGAAGATCACAGGGCGGTTCCCAACACCTACTTTTTTCTGCATATTTTAACACGGAATTTTTCATTGTGGTTCCGGAATGAACATTTAAATCTTCAAATTAGTAGGACTTTAGAGTTAGTGTTGGGCTGAGCTGAATTTTTTCTTGTTTTTGATGTTGTTGTTTTTTGGTATGGATAATTACTGTTTGTATGTCTTCTTGTGGGTTTGAAAAGGACAGGAGAAGAACTCTGCACACACACACCCCAAATAAAGTCCGTCTCAAATATTGGACCCATTCCCTTTTTACATTCTGTCTCAAGTTTTCATGAGAAAAGCCGAAAAGGCAACATTGCCTTTCTTGAGATTTTGAATGGCACTGGCTTTCTGGATCACAAGCTCCTTAAGGGAACAGCTATCTTATTCTATATATCCATGAGCCAAAAAAAATTCCCAGTTGAGCTAGTGATGATAATGGCTCTAGGAATGAACAGCTGGCTCTGGTGCAGGGTACCTTACCTGCTGTTCTGGCAACAAAACTTTACAGTGTTTAAATGATTACCTCTTTGTATAGGATAAAGTGGGAAGGTATTGTCTGATAACAGAAGTGCAATACGTTATCTGTATAAGCACACTGGTGCTACTTTTAACTAAGTATTCCAAGAACAGAGATAAAACAGATAGCTGTAAACAGTGCAACCACCCTGTGCCACAGACTAGCACAGAGGTGGTTAACTTATAGCACTCCAGATGTTCCTGGACTATAAATCTCAGCATCCCTGGCCATTGGCTAAGCTGGCTGGGGATGACAGGTGTTGAAGTCCAACACTTGGGGAAGGCAAAGGTTAGTCACCCCTGGACTGGCACAATAGGAGAAAAAGTGCTACGTGATAAGCACTGTCATCATATGGCTATAGGACAGAAATTCCCAACACTGCACCCTTCAGATGTTTTAAACCAGAATTCCTAACAACTCTGACTTCACAGGGTGGTAGACAAAAAATATGGGGAGAACATGAGATTAGGATGGCTGAGGCAGGAGCTACCTCTATTAGAAATTCAGCCATCTCTTGGCTTCCCTAGATGGCAGTAGGAATAGGTTCCCATGATAATAAAATAAGAAAACCCAGTTTTAAACCTGGAAGTGACAAGGTTGGTTAGTGAGAGATGGGATGGGTGAATCTGTCAATTTCACGTTCTCCCTGCTTTTAATTTTTTCCATCTTGAATTCAGTTCTCTACATCAGCTTGTGATGTTTTTAAAGCGCTCATGAAAATTAATCAGCATTTTAGTGGAAACGTCCACTAGTATACAAATTTTGTATGACTTTTTGCCTACATGCACATTTTTGTGAAGCAGATTTTCCCTAATATAACACATCTCTCTGTGTCTGTTTCATTAAAAATATGCATTTTAATGCATACTTTACCTTGTGTGCATTATTTGCACTGGGAAATTTGGAGTAGTGATTGCAAGGGATGGCTGTATTTTGGTTCACATAGTGTTTCAGAATGTTCAATTTAGTTATGTGAACTAAACCCATCCTGTCGCAATTTCAGGAGACTCCCAAAATAACATGCACAGGTTGATTTCCTCAGCAGGGGGATGGGAGAGTGTACAATTAGATAAGCCAAGAAGACAAGAGGTGAGGACCACCCCAGCGTACCTTTGATTAGCATGGGTTTAAAAGGATGAGCAACCTTGTCTTTTCATTCATAATAAACACATACCATGCAACTATCAAAAAATTAATAAAATATTCTTGAACAAAGTTCTCTGTAATTCTCACCAACAGAAAAAAAGGCTTGAACTTTAACTACAGGGGGCAAGAAAACAACATTTGCTATTTCAAAGTATTCATAAATCTATGAATGTGACTCAGCCTCATATATCTCTATACGTATAATATATTACCGCTCATATACATGTGTTAATTATACGTGTGTATGACAGATTTCTTCATTATTGCATGCAGCAATAATCCTGACATAAATAATATAGGAAATAAAGGTATAATTACACGTTGTGGGTGTGAAAGAGCTGGTTCTTGGGGCTCCTTGGGTAGTGGGAGGAGGTGGCATTGTTGGGGGCGTCAGCCTGGATTGCGTCTTCACATCCACAGGTGAGTCTGGCATTGTGGAATGCTTCTCAATGCGATCTAAAACACACAGAACATTTTGCTTAATTTTCCTCCCCTCCTCCTCCAGGAAGCAAATCATTTGAACCAAGTGTTCAGCACAAAACCAGGTAAGCAAATAAAGCATTTTTCAGTGTCTCAAACTATGCTAAAACTGCTTCAAGACTGAGTACCGTTTTTAGTCAAGGTAAGTTTTTGACACCACTTAAGCCCTAGAACGCAGAAAGGAGAGCCACATTTATAGCAGGGTTATAATATAACATCTTCTGCTCTCCTTTCTGGCAGAGTTCGGGCATCATTTTGCATGAAGTGCTGGTGCTGGAATAAGGAAACGTCATTTGAATGCTGTTATAACATTAAGAAGTAAGATGGGGAAATGCATGATCAAATTTATATGTGTGTGTGTGTTTATGTATTATTTAAAATTTATACATCACTTAATTGTATTAAAAAAAACCTTAAAGGGTTTTACAAAGAAGATAAAACAATAAAACTATCACTAAGAAAAAATTAACAACAATAATTTAAGACAGAAAGTTGAAATAACAATAGACTAAAACCCGATTAAGAGTCGCATCGATTTTCTAAACATCTGGGTAGGCTTAGCTAAACAAAAATGTTTTTAGTTATTCAATATGCTTGTAACTCTTCCTTTTTCAGACCTGAACTATCAACCAAAAGAGCAAATAAAAACTACAGCATTTACAACCACAAGTCCTTAAAATCTGCAAAGCAAGTTTTATTCAGCAGTAAAACTACCAGCCTATGAATACTTGGGCAAACAGACAAGTTTTTACTTGGTGTCCAAACAAGAATTTGCACCAAGCATAACTCTAAGGGGAGGTTGTTGCACAAGTAAGGTCCCCCCCCCCAGAGAGAAGGCCCTTTCCTGCATCACTGTATATTGTACATCTCCCAGCAGTGAAATAACAAAATAGACTTTGGACTGTATTCATTGGTGGGCTCTGTCCTAGCAGAACACACTTCTAATCATGAAGAGTGGATCACCTGATGTTTACTGTTCCCACCTACTCACTAGGGCAGGCTTCCTCAAACTCGGCCCTCCAGATGTTTTTGGCGTACAACTCCCATGATCCCTAGCTAGCAGGACCAGTGCTCAGGGATGATGGGAATTGTAGTCTCAAAACATCTGGAGGGCCGAGTTTGAGGAAGCTTGCACTAGGGCTTTCCACTAGTGCAAAGACAACATTACATGCAACTCACAGTTTTATCCCATGCCTTTGCCCAGACACATGTTGTCCCAACAAACCAGTGGCAGACTTCCAAGTTAATGGGTTTAGGACTGGGATGTAAGCCTGCTGATTGCTTGGTTAAATATTCCTGGCTCTGTTTCCCCATTAGCTGTCCGCAAAAAAACTCCACAAATTATATAAAGGATACTTTGGGGGATATATCTATGTTAATTGTTCTGAAAAGACCGTTCTTTCCTAACATCAAATAGTACTAGTCCCAATTTGTGATTATTGTAAGTCAAATTGGACAATCTTATTTGTATTCCTATATGTAATGAGGCACTCAGCAGCATAACATTTGCACAGGTTGTTTGCCTGTAAAATCCAGTGCACATAACCTGAAATAATGCAGTTGATATTCTGAATATTATCTGAGAACCGTATACCTAATATGGACCTAAGCATGTTGGATTTGCTGGGTGTTTTGTGGTCTAAGGGGTGAGAAGGATGTGATTTCATTCCTTCACCACGTTTGAGGAACAATTTGGGAAAAGATTTTCAACTCTGGGCCTGTGTTAAATTTTCACATCATCCTGTGCCATTTGAAGTCTTAGTAGAAAAGAAGGGCCAAGTGTCACAAAACACATGTCAAACAAAGTTATCTACATGAACAGAACAGAAAATTAAATTATCATATTGCGCTCAAACTTTAACAGGCTATTTATTCATACAAGTGGTTTGGTGAACTTTTTTAAACAGACTAGTAAGGCAAATATATTTGAGCTTTTATGAAAACAAACTTTTATTGATACAAAAACTTTATACCATGCCTCCTCTACAGTCATTTTTCTTTATGGTTTCACATTCATCTCATTTACATTCCAATAAACATTTGTATCTACCATTCCTCAGCTGTGCTATCCTTTTGGCAGTATGATATACAAATAAATTTATGTAAAATGTTACAACACTGAATGTGTGTGTGTGTGTGTGTGTGTGTGTGTGTGTGTGTATATATATATATAAAACCTAAATAAGGAAACTGACAATAAAAATAAATGAATCAGATACCGAAAGTTTAAGTAAATATAGGCAGTTCAGTTTGATCAACAATAATACTTATTTCATGTTTGAATGGAGGGAGGGAGGAAAAGAGAGAAATAAGCCCTTGGGATTTCTGAAACACAAATGGGTGAGAAACACAATGCACAGTTCTGGGCCTGTCCTCTTGTGCAAGCCTCACTGAAATTATTGGGGCTTGTGTGATAACATCATCCTGGTAGAATTTGTAAATTCTAAGAAGTTGAATGAACTGCAGTAAACTGCCCCATTACCACTGTAATTTCAATTCAAAATGTTCTACAAAGACAATCATGCTAATTGTTCAGAGTTCTTAAGGCAGAGATTCTTGCAACTGGGAGGGCAGAAGATGGGAACCATAATTTCATTATCATACCTTAACAGCAGTGCTTATGAATCTAGATATAGGAAATTCAGCACTTGCAGTCTGTGGGACAAAGAGTTACGGCATCTACAAACATGGGTGAAGATGAGTGTTGTAAACTGAACAAACAAAGACGAACCGCTTGGCTTATGCTGCGGTCGCATATTTAACAAGCAAGGACAACAAATTCAAAGGAGCAGGGGAAAGAGCATGAAAATGTTAATTGTTTCTCGCACTCACCTCCACCAACCTCAGCAACAAGGAAATAAACAGCATTCAGCTTATGTTGCAACAGAGGAAGAGAGGCATGGAGAGATATACAGGCTCTCCTAAATAAAGGCAAATATTTCTGCCATGCCAAGAAAGGAGAGAGTAAGAGAGACTTGCCAGAGCTGGCCAGGAGATAACATTGGCAACTGCTGGCCCATCTGGTTTTCATTCTGCTAACACTCACGCTGAAGTGTTGGGGAATGTATTCCAGGTATATAGATCTGGAAACATGTGTAAGCCTGGATGTGAGCAGAGAGGGAGCAGTATATGGAGGAGAGAAAGAGAGTCATACTCCGCTTAAGGTCTGTTGCTCAGGAAAAGGAAGAACAGTGTATCCCCCAGTTCAGCTCTTAATAACTTAAACAGCAACTCCCTTCCTTCACACATACACTTGATCACATTTTACTTCCCATTTTAGAGTTAGCTGATAAATGGGTTGACACCAGGACAAGGAACAGGGTCAAGAGAGAGAGAAAGAGACCTTGGGAAGCCTTCAAGGTCAAGATCATAAATAGTTCACATTCTGTTACATTAATAGATGCTGTGATCTATACTAATTTTGCATATTATTTATCCCATTTTTCTTTGTGTTAATAACTTGGTTCTCGTAAACTCATAATCCTTTAAAAGTTATTTTTAATTACCAATTATGTATTAATTAAGAGTATTTTTAATAATGTCTACATATCTCCTTAGAATTAGGTTTTTGTTGGAACTGGGAGTCACCAGAAGTCATAGTGGCTTGAAACAAATCCTTCAGAGAGTGGTTAAAAACCTATAAAGGTACCAACAATAGTTTTTGTGCCACTGATTTCTTTCCAGTGTTTGAAACTTGCAGAACTGAGTTAATGACCAGCACTGACGCCAACAAAGAAAACCTTCACTCTTGGTTCTGTGAATTGGATTTTAACACAATTTTCAAAAGCTGCATTGTTCGCCATTCCTACATGCACTGTGCTAGGACAGAAAACTAGATCTGCAGTATCTCAGCAATAGAAACCTCAAGTATAATGCCAACAAGCACAGAAACACTGGGAAATGTTATGTCATTCAAAAAGTCTCCCTGAACCATGATTTCATTTTGTAACAAGCCTTGGGTGAGAGGAATATCACCTGTCAAGAACCAAATTTCAGGATACAAGTGTGAAAACTACAGTGGTACCTTGGGTTAAGAACTTAATTCACTCTGGAGGTCCGTTCTTAACCTGAAACTGTTCTGAACCTGAAGCACCGCTTTAGTGGGGCCTCCCGCTGCCGCCACGCGATTTCTGTTCTCATCCTGAAACAAAGTTCTTAACCCGAGGTACTATTTCTGGGTTAGTGGAGTCTGTAACCTGCAGTGTCTGTAACCTGAAGCTTCCGTAACCCGAGGTACCACTGTATAATTAGAGTTCTGAACCGACTGAAAACAGAGAAAGTAGAAGAGTAAAGAAGGCTAGAGAAGCTACAGATGTGTAAGGCATGTGTAGATTTCTTCTTTATGTCCACAAACATGGTTCCATGATCAAGGATCTATGAATTGGCTGTGTCCTTCCTTCTCACAGACATTGCCATCCTGGGCTCCAGCCACAAGAACCTGGAACAATATCTGAGGCACGGCCTCAGGGTGGATAAGTAAACTGGAAACTGGGACTTAAATTATGTCAGTAAGCATGCTGTGATAGGCTACCACAGTGGTTTGACCTGGATTAAAACAGAGTCCAAAATGTCAACCAATACCACTGGGTCCAAGGTCTACTCCCTGCAATCATCTCTTCTTCTTCTTTGGTGATCACTCATAGCCAAGTAAGATTGTCTTCCACGAAAACAATCTTAACAGTGAGTCCATAAGTGACTGTGGAAGCCAATTCTGGATCCACACGTCCTTCCACAGTGGAGACACAGGTTTCAGGTAATAGGCTGCAGCAAATCTTAAGCATGTGGCACAAAAACCTTAGCCCTCCCAACCCAGAGTTCAACCACAGTGTATCGCCTTTGTGCACAAGTTCTTTTCGGCTTTATGACCTTTAGAGTAATGTGTGCTGCATTTTAAGACTGAGAAAAACCTGAACCTCTTCAAACAGGGTTTAAACCCAACAGCTTCTCAAAATTCAAGGAGGAAAAAGAGCTGCCTG